CCTCAAGATGGACTGGACCTAAAGGTGTGCACATGGACCTGGGCTCAGGGGAGGCTTCCGTGGATGGAGTTCGACCTGGATTCGAAAGGGGAATAGCATAGATGCTTATGTTGAAGAGACTGGTCCAGAATTGAAATAAAATAGTTTCACTAAAACTAGGAAAAGTCATTGTTTCCAAAAGAATGTCCTTTCCACATTAGGTGAGTTTTACAATTTTTGTTTTCCACAGCGGCTGTAACATTTTACCGTCTGAACAGCCCCAGGTGAGTGACCTAGTTACCCACGGCCTTGCCCGTGTGTGACATCACCGCTCTGAAAGATGCGTCGATATCTTATTGTGGTTTCAGCCTGCATTTTTCTAAAGGCTAATGATGTTAGTCATTTGTTACTAAGTACCACCTGTACACCCTCCTCAGTGACACATCTCTTCACGCCTTTTGCCCATTTTCTTTGCTTTTCTTTTTTTTCTGGTTAATCCTCATATGAGAATATTTTTCTCACTGATTTCTAGAGACACTGGAAGGGAGGGGGAGGGGAGAGAGAGACATTGATGTGAGAGAGACACCCATGGGTTGGCCCTTGCATGCACCCCGAACGGTGCAAGGGCTGAACCTGCAACCCAGGTGCATGCCCTTGGCTGGGAATCGGGCCACGGCCCCTCCGTCCTCGGGCAGGCGCTCTCGCCACCGAGCAACGCTCGCTGGGGCTCCCATTTTCCAACTGGACATTTAAAAATATATGTATATTTTATTGACTTCAGAGAGAGGAAGGGAGAGGGAGAGACAGAAATATCAATAATGAGAGAGCCGCTGAGGGGCCGCCTCCTGCACCCCCCATGGGGTGGAGCCTGAAACCCCGGGCCGGCCTCCTGGCTGGTGGTCAGGGCTCGACCAGAGCCCCGCAGGCCGGGCTGGTTGGACTCTTTCGTGGCTGTTCTTTCCTGTTGAGTTTTGAGGCTCTTTATACTTTCGAGGCAGCAGCCCCCTGTTGGGTACGTGGTTTGCGAATGTTTTCCCCGGTCTGCGCCTGCAAAACCCGCCCCTTAGGGCCGCGCGCAGCCTGCCGCGCTCGGGAGAACGGGCCCCGCCGCGCCGGGCTCCGCGCTCCAGCAGTTTGCCGGCAACTCCGAGCACTGAGGTCCGACGTACACTTCGCGAAGCGTGTGCACC